AAAAAGATGTTAAACAAATGAGAAACGTTTTAACATTACCAGAAGCTCAAGCATATGCCAAACGTCAAGGTCCAAATTGGGAAGCACACGAAGCAGACATTACGGGTCCAAATGGAAAACCTGATGGTATAAATGAAGTTTTCGTTACTGATGGTCAAGGTAATATTAAAGTCATAAATGGTTATAAATTAACTATAACTGATTATCCTAAACGTAAAGCATATAATGAACGTTATCCTATGCAATTTGATGAAAATGGAAAAGCTGTTAAACAATACATTGGAGAAGGTGAAAATGGTCCAATTAATTCATACCGTTATAATCCATATTCTTATTTCAATGAAGAATTAAATGCTATTGAAGAGGGACCGGATGGATTACCACAATATTCTAACAAGTTTGATGGTCAATATGCAAATATAGGGTGTCCAAAGGTGTGTTTAGCACAAACCTGAATACTGCAAATAGAAATAAACAAGTTACATATATATAAAGTTTATTTAAATATAATCACCATTGGATTCAATCACGCGTTCGCAGCGATCGATCCAGGCTTCAAAGACACGCTTTAAATCATCATGAGAAAATTGCTCAAATTGCTCTCTTACAAAATTTTCAAGATCATCTGGACTCGCGAATTCGCGTCCTTCAGCTCTCTTTTTTAGCGTGCCGAATAAATAAAAGTCAGAGGGTGCAATATCAGGTGAATAAATTGGGTTTGGAACAACTTTGACATTGTTTTCCACCAAGTAATTCATTACCTTATGACTTTTGTGAACTCTTGAATTATCAAAATGAATTGCAAACTTTTGTTTTTGTTGTTTGGATTTCTCAAACTCATCAGAATTGATAATTTGAGTAAGAACATTGTCAATTAGATACTGAGCATTCATCGTATTAGGTTTTTGAAGAATATCAATTGCGATGATGCCATTCACGCCCCAAAAAACCGACAACATCATCATTGGTGTGTCAATTTTTTTCTTCGGGAATGTTTGCGGATTTTCATCCTTCGGGATCCACATGATTTTGGCTTCTGTTGCATATTGAAACCAAGACTCGTCCCCTGTTACTAAAAAGCGAAACTTCTTGGATTGATACGCACCCAATATAGAGAGGAGCTCTTTCGAAGATTGGACTCTAGATTTTTTTTGAACTGAATTAAGGTTGTGCGGAACCCAACGTGTATACGCTAGTTTGTAGTTCAAATAATTGTGCAGATAATAACTGACTGTTGTACGTGGTATCTTTGTCATCTCCTCTATCCTTCTGAGTGATGCTCTTGGGTCTTCATATAGCGCTTGAAGAATTGCTTTGATTTTTCTTTGATCCGGCGATTTTTTGTCAATTTTTATGATGGGCCTTTTTGTTCATGAAGTGATACATCCTAAATGATACGTTACAGTGGAATAGCTAGGAGCATCCATACCGAAGCATTTTACCAATGTCTCGTAGATTTTTTTACAGTCTTTGCATTTTTTTGCAAGAGCGAGGATGTTTTCTTTATGATTCATTAAAAAAAATGAAAAAAATCCGCCAAAATTTCCCGCGAAACCGCCTCTTGTCTCAAAATTCATTTTATATCCCGGCATGGCGCCAAAATACAACATACTCATCATATACATATATTCATATTTTTTATTATATATTTATAATCAGCATATATCTCCTTTAATAGTCTCATATAGAGCGCTGTGCTAAACGCACCTTTGGACACCCTATATTAGACCTGAAATTTCAGCTAAGAAATTCTTTAAAGTTGCTTTATTCGATCCAGTTTTCGCAAATGTTAAAGATGAACTTAAACAGCAATTCCAACCAATTATAGTAGCAAGAATTGCATCAGGTGCTTTATCTCAAGCATTCAAAGATTTAATTAAGAAACCATTATATCAGCAACGAGGTTTAACTTATGATTTAGTTAAGGAATCAGATAAAAGAAAATTTGAGAAATCAGATGATTATAAGAATGCAATTAATGAATATATTAGGCCTATTAATTACAATGAACCAGCTAAAAATCAACTTCAAGAACAAATACAGGGAATAATAGATTCAAAACTTCCAGCAAAATAAAAGTTTAAATATATTTTTTATTCGATTATAAATGAGAAGACGTTCACTAGTCAAAAGAACACTAACGCAAAAGCAGAGATTACGGTTGGTTTATAACGTAAATGATGATAAATCACGAATTATTCAAAATGTTAAAGTTAATGTTAGCCCTGAATTAACAAGGTCAGCAACTCAACCAAATTTATTAACTCGTGACTTACCGAAAAAGGAGGAGGAGCAAAATAAAGAAGATGGAGACCCAATCATTTTATCTGAACCCGGTAAAGAACCTGTTGAAATTCCCACTTATCCAACATACCCAGCACCACTTGATAACCCATATAAAATAGACATTAATTCTGAATTAATGAAAATTTACCGTGATATAATAACTAATAATTATGATTCAATAATAAATTTAATTGATCAATCCGGTTTAATTATTTTACCTTATGAATCATTAATTCACATTATCGCCATTCTTTGTGATGTTCAAGATTCAGACGTTAAGATTCAATTTTTCATAGATGATGAGGTTTCATGCTGCGGAACAGTTGCAAAAAAAATCCTATAAAGGATATTAGCACAATTAAGATATCAAAGAACGGAACAACAACTGAACTTCATTTAACATATAATGATATTTATAATAAAATAGTTGATGAATATAAAATATCACTTGAAAAATTCTTTGTTAAGGTATTTAATATTCAAGCATTAACATTATCGAATAATAATCCTTTGAATCATAATCAATAATAATTGACCTTTCACCAGTTTCTATCGTTTGTTTTATTTCTTTTTGTTCCCCACTATCTGGATCGGTCATTGTAATTTTTTTTGTTATAGTATCAGCTTTATCTTTAACTTCAATCTTTTTTCCATCGGGATATTTAAACCAAAATTCCAAAAATTCGATATTGTCAATCTGTTCATATTTTAATCTATCAATTACATTTTTAATACCATAATCGAGATGAATCAAAACTTTATCCCCTTGTTTAAAATTCATGAGCCCCGAATTAATTTGTTCACGTTTAACATCATTCAACCTTTCCATTTGTTTTCTAATATATTCCCATTCTTTTGAAATATCATTTTTCATTTCCACTGGTTTCATGTTTATAGTTCTATGCCATGTATTATTGTAATAATATACTAACTGTTGTATGATAGAGTCATGATTTCCATCCCAGTATATCTGACCGTTAACCCCTAACGCATCTCTAAGAGTTCTCATTACTGCATCAACTATTTTATTATGAAACGTATATGGAGAGGATGAAAAGTAAAAATTAATTTGTGGGAAATAATGAATCATAGCTGCCTGAAATCCTTTATCACCATCACCCCTGATATTATCTACTCTTTCATGATCTAGTAAGTATTGTATAGCTCTTCTTGTTTCCTGTTCTGTTTTCCCTTTCACTGGAATGCAATATAAATATCTAGTGTTAATGTTAATGGCAAATAAATAAGTAAGGTTTCCTTTTGAATATTCCAGATGATCGATTTCGTATGAATATGGATATGGTGCAAATGAAGGGCGACTAAATTTTTCCTTTAACGGTTGAATTTTCGGGTCAATTGGTTTATTTAATATCTTGAAATCCTTTTTAAAATCTTTTTGCTTCTTTAATGTTTGAAATGGATATAATAAAGTGAATGATGAAGGATTAACTGAAGGAGGAGGAGGTACTGTCGTTGGAGGTTTTGGTATTGCAAGTGGTTTAATTTTATCTGCTTTGATTTTGGATGATGAAGTTTTAGTTGTTGATTTTCCTTTCATTAATTCTGGATGTATTCTATTCATTTGTTTTAAATATGCTGTATATAAAGGTTTGATATACTTTCCCACTTCGAGTTTATGTTGAAGGATGAATTCCAAAAGTTGATCTTCATTTAAAAGTCGGGCTGAATATGGTTTAACTAATGAATCATAAATTAAAGCTTGTGCATCATTTATGGTCTGAAGGACCTGGGCGTTTTGCGCCTTTAGCTGTTGAACATTTGCTACTTTCTCTTTTGGTGTTGTTTTCGGCTTTTCTTCTTTTGTTTTTGTTCCTTTGGCTTTTGCGGCTCAGGATTATATAATTTATATAATTTATATAATTCATCAATATCTTCTTCTGTTAATACTTTATTTTTGAAATCTTTCAACTGTTTAAGTTGTGATTTAGTTTTTCCCTTTGTATATTTATTATTTTAATTTGTCTTTAATTTCAGAAATTATTTTATCATGATATTTCAAAATTTCATTTTTATAATATGGATAATAATAATACATATCATCACCTGTTATATTTTTATTATGTTTTTGGAGATATGATTTTAATTCATAATAATTAAGAAAATTTTGATTAAGTACTAAATCATCAATTAAATTTTCTAAATCTGCGTTATCCATTTATATAAAAATAAAATAAATGTTTTAAGGGTGCCCACCTCTTTGAATCATAGTATCAAAACCATTATTTACATATTGAATCGCATCATTAACGGTTCCTCCTTCTAAAACGGTATCAAATGGTGGAGTCCAGATTTCCTGATGATGATCATAAAATCCAGCAAAATTAACCGTATTATTAGGTAAAATATGAATCTCAGCGGTATATCTTCTATCTAAATTTGGATGCCTTATATGTATACCATTACTGCCCGGATAAAATCTCAAACCTTGATTTTGTTGACGCATCAAATTATTGAAATTTCTTTCTTCAGGGGTGAATGTTCTTCTCCGTTGACGTTGTGGTGGTGGTGGTGGTCGTTGTTGCGGCTGTTGATGCTGTGGTGGGATTTGAAAAATTCGTTGTGGTTGATTATTTGGAATCTGAAAGTTAAAACCATTTGGTATAAATCTATTCGGTTCCTTTTGTCTCTTCTGTGGCATTTTATTAAAAATAAAATTTTAAATTCATGACTCAACCCTACGTTTTTAAATTGTATTAAATAAATGGCATACAACATCCATTTTCACAACATACAGCCTTAGTGTGTGCTCCTGTTAATGCAGTCTTACCGATTGTTAAGCGAGTCATTGACCCGTTTTTAAGTTGTAAATTAATATTCTGACCATCAAATATCACTTTATCATTTATTATATCCAAATAATTTTTAGGTGTTAATTGTTTATTTTGTCGTAAACTAACACCTTTCATTTTTTGTGCAATCTTTTTAAAATCACTTCCATCAATTGAACCGTTGAATGATGTATAACACTTAGGGCATAAAGCAACCATGTTATCACCTTGTTTCTCAATTGCTAAACCCAATAACTTCTTCTCATGTGCTTTTTCTTCAGCTTTATTCTTTAATTTAGGTTTAAATTTCTCATCAAAACAGAAGAAATCAAATGGTGCGAATTTGAAAATGTTTTTATCATAAAATTGTTTATCGGTAACAATTGCTTGAAATGCTTGAGTGTTAGGAAGACTTGGATCGCCAGCAATAGCCCAATAAGATGAATCAGTATCACCTTCAATGAAATGAAAACGATTAACATCCATGCATTTATACATAAAATCATAAATGAAAACTAAATACCAGTATTTAGCATTATCTAAAGTGAAGAATGCCTCTTGTAAACATGTATCACATCTATAAAATCTATCTTTAAGCATCACTTGATATGTATCCTCACCTATTTCTCTTATGTTTTTAAACTTATTTGACATACATGCAACGCGTGCCTTCTGTGCATTCATTATTTTAGTCTTTGCGTAATTTTGTGTATTCATTGCATCGTAACCATATGATCCATTAAGTGAAATCTTGCAAAATAAACTTTTTCCTTTATTTCCTTCTAATTCAGCCTTTTGTCTTTCGTTCATAAATTCGTTCGCAAATTCATTAAAACAAGTGTTTTTCGTAAATGTTAAAATTGATTGAATATCATCGATGATAAAATGAAATCTGTCTATTAGATACCAAAGATAATAAGAAGAAAATGGTTGATATTGGTTGTGTGTTGATGCTAACTGAGTTAATTTCCTCTGTTTCTGGTCAACTGGTAGATTGTTTGATTTCATGTAATTATACATAAAACTGCCAATTTTTTTTCATCTGTGATAATATCTAAGTTTCTTATTATCGGTAAAAAGTTTATGTAATCATTAATGTATTTTTCATCAATGTGACCCTTTACTTCAGCCACAAATAAAGTATTTTTCTTCTTAATTATTCCCAGTGCTTTTGCTTTCTTTGTTGCTGTATCACAAATGATAACACCATTCAATCTTCCCGGCATATACATTTTATGGTCAGTATATTGAATGAAATCATGAGGATTAGATGAAAATGATGAAGGATATAATGAATTAAAGTCAACACCAACGAAATGAGTCATAATGTTGGTGGTGTCCTCATTTGATACAGTTTTAGTTTCTGGATTATATGAAAGTTTATTAATGTGCGTGATTCCTTTAAGATTTACTCTATGTTGAACATTTGATAAACCACCAGTAATTCCATTACGGAGAATGTGATAAGCTTCAACTGAATCTAAAGTCATTGGTAAATTATTTTTTAATGCATAATTTCTTAAATTGATTCTTAAACGTTGAACATCTTCATCTTTATTTGATTTTACGACATTGCAATAACAACACATTAACTGACAATTTTCTTTGGTATGTGGTTTTTCATTATCGATTCTATTCAATGTTGGTTTATTTGCATATGTAAACGCTTTACCACACATTTTGCATTTAGATGAAAGGATTAAATCGTGATAGTATTGAAAATCATCCATTGAAACATTATTTTTAGTATCTCTTTCTGCTTTTTCATCTTGTTTCTTATATGATTCAATTTTATATTTCCAATACTTTTTCGTTAATTCAAAACTTGATTCTATCTCTTCCTCAGGATATTTTTCATTAGGATTAAAGTCTTTATATGCTAAAGCGTAACGAATCATTGAAGCATTCGATGATAAAGAAAGATTATGAAGCATATCAATTTTATAAGCAAACGTTTCTTCAATAATTTTATCGATCGGGTCAATCATAATTTCAACATCTTTATTGCAATAATGAATAAAATATTCTAATCTATTCTTAAAATTTTTAGCATCATTGAGATATATTTGATAATCACTATCTGATATAGTTTCTTGAGTTAATGCTGAATAAAATGAATCTTGAGTGAATGGTTCCACTTTATATAATTCTTCTTCGTAATTTTCCCACGTGATGAATTGATAAGGGAAAAGGATTTAACACGTGATTTATTGTTTCCGAAATCTTGAGTGAATTGGTCTAATGTCCCACCCGCTATATAATTTCTGATGTCAATAAATCTCAATTCATATGGAACGTTTGTTTTCTTTACAATGATTTGCTTAAATTGTGAAGATGAACCCAGCATTGATTTTATTTTCCATTTTGCGGTGTTTAAATCACGAAGAATTAAATTTAAATCAAACTTTCCCGAATTAAAACCTATGATATTCACTTTATTGAATTCCTCATCTAGAAGTTCTTTAAATGCTTCCTTCTGTTTTTCATTTAATGTATGGGACAAAGTCCCCGCCGTTTGCGGCTTCATTAATTCTTCATATTGTTCAATATTTGATTCAACAACTAATGAACAGGTTGAAAATAAAAACTCAATCCAATCAGAAATAAAAGAATCACTCGAAGTTAAGCAAAAATTCCTCGTATACGTTTTATCATTTAATTTAACCGTTGATGATACCATGAATGGTTTTAAGTAAGCATTCAAAGTTGCACACTCAGAAAGTTGTAATTCTTCTTTAGTCTCTAATGTTTCAAAGTCAAAAGTAATATAATATCTTGTCGGTTTATAATATTTCTGCAAATTGTGAGCTAATAACCACTGATATATCTTCTGTTTCGTAATATGTGGTGCATATGGTTGCTGTGTCTTTTGCAATTGAACGTCTTGAATTAATCTTCCATTATTTTCTTTACATTTCTCACAATGCTTTAAAAATCTTCTTTGGTTTTTCCTTTCTGGATCATCACGGATAGAATAAACTTCTTCTTTACAATATGGACAAACTTTATAGCCGGTGAGTGCTTCAACGTCTGTTATTCTGTCAGCGTGAAGTTTTCCACATGGACTCTGTGTTAATAAAATATTTACTGTTTCAAATTCTGGATCTATCATTATTGATTCCACTAATGGAAAGTCTACCTTATTTATGTCCACGTCTTCTGGTTGAGGATCACAATAATAGAAATCAATATTAACATTTAACATTCTCGCTAATCTCTCACTTTCTGATGAAATGTCAAAACCTTCATATGCATCTATTGCTTCATTTAAATAGCTTCTACGAGTTTTAGGATTAACACCATCAGGAATGTTATAGAAGCGTTTAAATAACCTTCTACCTTCTGCTCTAATTTGATTATCATTCATTTTAGCTGTTCCGTTTTTGTTCATTTATGTAAGAATAAAAAATTAAAAAATAAATAAAAATAAAGTTTATTTTTTAAAGCCCATAAAATGAATTAAGAACACATAAATTTTTATCATCTGCGACGTGACGAATACATTTTAATTTACTCAAGAATGCGTACCCCGATACATTAAATCTAATTCCTGTCTTATTTAATTTCACAACTTTGAAAAGGAATGTATGAATAGCTATAAAATGATGAGAAGATGTTTTATGGGTTGCTTCCATTTTTTCTGAAATAAATGAATAAATATAATGCTTATACATTTTCATATCTTTTATATTCTTAATAACGAATGGTATAGACCTTTCCACTTCATCTTCCTTCGGTGCTGTTCTTTCATATGAAACATTATTAGTATCTTCAACAATGAAACCGCAATCACGTAAAATTTTATATGTTCCAATGGTTTCTTTTGATATTTTATCTAATAAATCAAAAACTTTATCAACACCTGTGCATTTATTTAAATAATAATTTGTGTAAATATAGGGTGTCCAAAGGTGTGTTTAGCACAAACCTGAATACTGCGAATAGAAATAAACAAGTTACATATATATAAAGTTTATTTAAATATAATCACCATTGGATTCAATCACGCGTTCGCAGCGATCGATCCAGGCTTGAAAGACACGCTTTAAATCATCATGAGAAAATTGCTCAAATTGCTCTCTTACAAAATTTTCAAGATCATCTGGACTCGCGAATTCGCGTCCTTCAGCTCTCTTTTTTAGCGTGCCGAATAAATAAAAGTCAGAGGGTGCAATATCAGGTGAATAAATTGGGTTTGGAACAACTTTGACATTGTTTTCCACCAAGTAATTCATTACCTTATGACTTTTGTGAACTCTTGAATTATCAAAATGAATTGCAAACTTTTGTTTTTGTTGTTTGGATTTCTCAAACTCATCAGAATTGATAATTTGAGTAAGAACATTGTCAATTAGATACTGAGCATTCATCGTATTAGGTTTTTGAAGAATATCAATTGCGATGATGCCATTCACGCCCCAAAAAACCGACAACATCATCATTGGTGTGTCAATTTTTTTCTTCGGGAATGTTTGCGGATTTTCATCCTTCGGGATCCACATGATTTTGGCTTCTGTTGCATATTGAAACCAAGACTCGTCCCCTGTTACTAAAAAGCGAAACTTCTTGGATTGATACGCACCCAATATAGAGAGGAGCTCTTTCGAAGATTGGACTCTAGATTTTTTTTGAACTGAATTAAGGTTGTGCGGAACCCAACGTGTATACGCTAGTTTGTAGTTCAAATAATTGTGCAGATAATAACTGACTGTTGTACGTGGTATCTTTGTCATCTCCTCTATCCTTCTGAGTGATGCTCTTGGGTCTTCATATAGCGCTTGAAGAATTGCTTTGATTTTTCTTTGATCCGGCGATTTTTTGTCAATTTTTATGATGGGCGCCTTTTTGTTCATGAAGTGATACATCCTAACATGATACGTTACAGTGGAATAGCTAGGAGCATCCATACCGAAGCATTTTACCAATGTCTCGTAGATTTTTTTACAGTCTTTGCATTTTTTTGCAAGAGCGAGGATGTTTTCTTTATGATTCATTAAAAAAATGAAAAAAATCCCGCCAAAATTTCCCGCGAAACCGCCTCTTGTCTCAAAATTCATTTTATATCCCGGCATGGCGCCAAAATACAACATACTCATCATATACATATATTCATATTTTTTATTATATATTTATAATCAGCATATATCTCCTTTAATAGTCTCATATAGAGCGCTGTGCTAAACGCACCTTTGGACACCCTATATCATGATCTTCTTTCTTAATCGTATTAGTTGCATATGTCACGTTTTTAAGAGCTTTTTTGAATTTCTCAGAATCGAGAGGGGGTGAAAGTAAGATACAAGGGTATTCTTCATTATCAATAAATTGTAACTTATGTTTATGAATAAATTTAGTACCTTCTTCTGAAAGTGTTTCGTCTATTTCACCATCTAATAAATTTTGTGTTGATTCTGAGACATAATTTTTATATCTTTCTTCATGAGATTTCTGTACTTCTGATTCTGAAGCTGGGATATTCATTAAACCCTCTACTTCATTTTCATTATATTTTTCAACTTCTCTTAATTCCTTAATTCTTTCATCTATTTCATCTCTTATTTTTTTCAGTCTTTCAATTTCATTGTATTCATCATCTTTAATCCGTTCTTCATAATATTCAGGGAAAACATCAGGTTCTTTAGGTTTTTCTTCTTCAGATGTAGGATATAAGAAATTTATAACATCATCTTTATTCATTTTTCCATCATAATCTAAATCATTTAATAACTCGGCAAATTTTTGACAATTTCTTAAATAATATTTATTAACTTCATAACCCACCTCCTCTAATATATCCTTTATTTCCTCGTTTGTGAATCCTAATTTTTTAACGTTGTTAGTTTTGACGCTCATTTCATACAAAATAAAAAAATAAAATAATAAACATAACTAAGTTTTAATTTTTCGTAAGAAGTTTATTTTTTATTCATGAAAATAATTATTTCTAATTTCTTTTACTCTCTCGTATATACTAGATTTAAAGAATTCAGAACATTTCCCATAATCTCCTAAATGTTTTCTTATCTTATTGGTTTTCCATTCATTATATGAAACTGTATAAACTTTATCTTTATCTTTGCATCTTTCATCACTTCCAATATATTTATATTTCAATTTTGATTTATTGGTTTCATATTCATTAACGTTTAATAATTCACAGTCTTCCTTTTTAAATAAATGTTTTATGTATTCAGGATTAACAATTCTATAATATTGCTTCCCTTTAAATCTTTGAATATAAACAGGAACACCATCCTCTAAAATTCGATAATCTATTTTATCTGGTTTTACTTGTTGGGTCATTTATGTAAGAATAAAAAAATAAATTATTTTAAAAATAACTTTAATTTTTTTAATGGTTTATTTTTTAAAAAAAAATTTATTTTTTATTTCATTATGTATGGGCTGAGTGTAAATGTCTTACAATTTTGAAAATTTTTTAAATCTTGATTTATTCAAAAACGTAAGAATAAAAACCGTAAGAATCATACATTTTTTACTTCATATGTTAAAAAAAACGATACAAAATTGCTCGATATTGTATGAATTCTTACGTTTACAAAAAAAAGTCACAAAACCCATCATATCCTACTACTGATTAATCAAAAATACCAAACCGGTATAAAGCCCTTTGTGTGTAATATTTTTATTTTACTATTGACATACAATTAAATAAAAGCACTCCCAACAATAAATCTTAAAATGATTTATCACGCCCGTAGCAAAATTTCAGCCCGATACTTTAACTTTTTTCGATTATTTTTTTACAACAAAAAAATGAATGAAATTCTTCCCCGGATTCAGTCAGGTGCGCGATCCAGGGGAGAAAATATTCGATATATATGCCAAGCACGCGATTTATCAAACCAAAATTCGATAATAGACGTCTATATCTCAATATCAGACACACATTTTGATATATACAAAGAAACACCATCATTTAGTGTAAACGCCTATTCATGGTTCAGCTTAAAGAGGATATTTTTCAAAGATGACGTTCTAAATATTGATTTTAGTGATGCAAAAATTTCTTTAAGTTTTGATGACCTTGAAAAAGTATATAATATAGTTTCAGATATACTTCCTCGCATCCTCAAACCAAGTGAAATCCAAAATACAGGAGTTAATTTATTATTACAAGATGCAAAGCCAAACCCGAACTCAGCTCTTCTTAGACTTAAACAGAAAATCAAATACAGTAAAAATCCGCAAAATTCAGAACCAATTGATATCATAACAGAATACGTTACATTTAACCCACATGAAGTAGAACTTTCAAAGCTATCGAGTAAAGAATCAGTCATACCATACTTTATTGACATCATTCCCCTCTTACCATGCTTACAAAGTTTAATAATTTCAACATCATTTTTAACAAGTAACTGGAAATCGATGTCTAACTTTGTCAATGATACAGGTTTTGTCGAACATATAGAAATTGTTGATCCAATTAACGAACAAGTTGAAAAATTTTTAACAAATTTATTTTCAAACAAACACTCATTTATTAATTCATTGTCTTTCAAGAAAGCTGCTTTATCGGAAAAGAACTTAACAAAATTACAATCATTAATGAAAACAAAGCAACTTTCATCATTATCAATTATAAGTTCTTTAGATATGAAATCACTGCCTTATTTCCACATGAACTTCATCAATGACTTGAGTTCACTGTTGTATTTGAACTTAGATACAACTCCAGGATTGAATTTATTTGCATTATTACCAAAAATAACAAATATTACGTATCTTTCACTGTCTGGTTGCGAATTGGATATAGGAAGAGCATTGACGAAATTTACAAACCTCAATTTCCATAATTTGACCGGATTAAATTTATCAAATAATTCATTTGAAGAAATATTACCACAGAACTATATATTCCCTCCAAAACTATCTAAAATCATGCTTGATGATGCCAAATTTGGCGATCAGTGCTTCCAATCCTTATTTTCTGCAATTAAATCAGCATCAGACAGACAATTCAAGGTTTCTATCAGCCATTATACAGCAAATAAGATAGATGAGTATATAAATACCCTAGAGAGCACAAATATTCAGTCATTAGTCTGGGATAAGAATCCAATAACGAAAGAATTTATTTCATTCCTTAAAAGAAACAAATCAATAGAATTCCTATCAGTTAGTGGATGTTTTGTTCCTAATAGTGACGATTTCAAACCATTCTGTGAGTATTTAATTGAAAATTCAACAATTAAATCTTTAGTTTTCCGAGAAAACCAAATTCTGTCAACAAAAATCACTGATTTCATAGATATATTATCAAAAAGACCAGAATCCTTCGAATTCCTTGATATTTCGAACTCAAAATGTGGAGATCAAGGAATAAATGAAATAACTAAGTTCATTTCAACAGAAAAAGCGCCCCATGTGTTTGTAATTGATGGTGCCGCTCCTAATAAATCAACAGCAGTTCTTTCTTTGCTTAATACGGCCTTGGAACTTCAAAATGACGTTTGTGTCTCGTATCCTGTCGATGACATGAATTACCTTACAAAACTGAAAAGAATGACAGAACAACAGCACCAAGAGATACTATCCAAATATAGAAGTAAAGAGGGAACAGAGGATAACGTTTTCGATTCGCCATTTTCCGTTTTCGTTGAGAAATCATCCCTTAAATTTCCGAAATTTATTTCGACGATAGAAGTTCATTCACAACATCAACAAAATGTGACAGCTCCAATTTCCCCTCATCAAAGAAAATTTTTCAGCAATCCTGTTGACAAACAAGCCAAGGTTTCAAGGTTTATTGCTGTATCACCTCCTTCTCTATCTGCTCCGCAATCGAGCTCATCAGCATCTCCTTCTGATGCTCCTATTTCTAATGTTCCAGCTGTTTCTTCTCAGGCAAGTAGAAGTGTTGCTTCAAGCATAAAAGACGAAAAGGAAAAGAAACCTCCTAAACCGATAAAGACAACAAGGAAGCCGGCTCCCGCTGGAAAGGTTTCGAGGTTGACTCCTTCTGCATCTCTTTCTAAACTCTTGAACCATCAAAAGAGAGAACCTCTCCAGAAACATTCGTCAGAAAAAGACAAACAATCAACTGACCAAAATAAAAATGAAAAAAATTCGGTCAGCCATAGCTCTAGTTTGCCACAATCACCTTTGAACACGCCACAGAGACAGGATGTGAAGCCATTTAATGAATCTAGTAATTCGGAGTCAATTAAAAACTCTGAATCAAATAAGAATTCTGATTCAAATAAAATTTCTGGATCAAATAAAGAGGAGTCAAAGAAGAACTCAGGATCAAATCAGAACTTGGAACAAGAAAGGAAAAGAAGGAGAAGACACCATTCAAACAGAATTAAAGACGGAGATGAGTGGAAGTTCCCAATTCCACGAGTAGAAATAGCTGATAGATGGGGAGAAACTGAAAAGAGATTCTCCTTGGAAGAAGTTGACCTTTTTCTCAGGCAATTGCCGCATTTGTAAGTAAATATATTTTTTGTTTATTTTGAATTAATAACAAACATGTTTACTAGATTTTTTTCAAACACATTATGATAATACTATACATCTTTTGAGAAAAAAATAATTATTATTTTGAATATCAGTAAATCAAATGATTAATGTATCTATCATGAATGAGCTAATGATAAAAATTGTTGAATAGTAAATTAATTAAGTAATAACTGATGTAATTCTGATTTCGAAACAAAATTTATCAAATGAAAAACGGAAGTAAGATTTTTCACCTTCTTTTAGCCAATTTATGACGATGTAAACCTAATGCTGACGTTTAAGTTGCTTGTCAACTTCATTTATTTTATCTTTTAACATCTCGATGTATTCTTTCTTTTCTTTTATTAGTCGTTTTAATATTTCTTTTCTTCTGCGTCTGTATACTTGCATTTGCTTAAAAGCAGCACTTGTTGCAGCACATCTGACTTCTGTGTTTCTAGCATAAAGTTCTTCTTCTGCATTTGTTGTAGCTGCAATAATATCTAATTCTGCTTGTAATGAATCTGCAATAGCTTCAGCATGGAAAAATGGATGCTCAGCTGTGGAATCTTCGCTTTCCATTATTTTATAAACGTACACTTTTGAAACAAAATAAATAGGAATAAGAACTAATCAATTAGATAATCCATCAGATCAAAAATTGTTTCCAATATTTCATTTCAAGAAATTGTCAGAAGTAGTTTATTCATTCAAAAATATTGAGCTAAAAAGATCTGAACTTGATGATATTATCAATGGAAACTGGATAAATGACATTTCAATGCAGCTATTTGGGATGATTCTCGAGAAGAAATATAATAAAATCAATCCAAACGATTCAAAAATACTATTTTTGCCTCCAACAACACTTGAATTCTTTAGATTCTATCCTGATGATTCCGTGATTCCAACCTTACAATACTTTCCAGCTTTGAAATATCGCTACGTTTTTATTCCATTCACAAACTCAGTATCACTCACCGAAACAGGAGATCATTGGGCATTGTTAGTTTGGGAACCAAACTTCAATTCACAAAACGCAAGTAACTTTTATTATTTAGATTCATCAGGACAAGGAAACAGAAAATACGGAGAGAGCATAGTAGAACGACTTTCGAAACTATATCAAATTGCAAAATATAACTTTATTCCTTATTCATCACCTCAACAAAACAATCATTCAGATTGTGGAATGTTTGTCATGGCTTTCATGGAATGCATTGCAGAACATCTTATAATCGAAAGAATTAATGATATAGTTTCCCAGCAATATGTCACAAAACTCAGAAAAGAATTTGAGCGAAAATATCTCAAACCTAAATGGAAAGTACATACTAAATCAGCAGAAAAATAACTTTAGTCAAGGATTTTTGTTGATTTTTGAGCAAAAATTCATAAATAATCGAAATAATTTTATTATTTCCATGTTTTAAAACGAATTAAATAGGAAATAGATGATTTCTAAGTAATTTTTCTGTATTTGTTTAATAAAACTTGATTTTGATATAAAAATTAAAATTTTTAAAAAAATATAACAAAGAAAAACAAACATAATTATATCTTTAAACTACAATTGGCTGTTCTATGTCAGCTTTTGCCACTCTTGGAACGCATTCTCGAATAAGTCTTTTTCCAGTCAAAATCGAAGTACTTCCAACAGTTATCTCGATTTGTTTTCCACCCCAGAACTTCTTTGCCAGATCCGAAATCGCGGAAACCTCGCTGAGTGAAATTCCGCCGATAATAAAAACAATAACTTTTTTATTGTCTTCTACGTTCTGTTTCTTGTTTGGATTGATCTGGTATTCGAACTTTATCTGGTTTTCCTGCAGATACTGCTCAACTTTCAACTGTTTCTGCTTATCGTATTTTCCTAACCTGTGGTCGATTGATTTCTGGACCAATCTGGCGGAGAATGGGGCATAACCATCGAAAAACTCGTAAATATCGGACTTAAACGACTCAGCCATGAAATTATTTAATTTTTGGTTGATTTCGTTTCGAAGTGACTCATCTTTGATTCTGTCTTCGATTAAGAGCTCCTTTGGTATCTCTTTGTATAGTTCAAACACTGTATTTTGTTTCAATTTAATAATATTTTTGAATAAATTCTTGATTTGTTCAAAATATTTCTCTTCTGAGTTCATCATTCCTATGCTTCTTAGATTTACAAGGTCGGTGATCACTTCCAGGCCGAATTTCTGTATCAATCTGATGATGAAAGCTTCAAAGGCCGAAGAAGGGATTCCGCTCGTGCAGAGTGAGGCCAAACAGAATTCTCTTAATGTTTCCGACCAATTTTGGTCCCTAACTATATGTGCTTCAGCTACAGATGGAGGAGTACTCTCTCCTCTTATCACGTGGACATCGTAATCAATTACTTGACCGAAATATGGGTCAGTGGATCGCTTCTTAACAATGTAGTCGCATACTTTGAACATGTTTTCGTATAACGGCATATTATTAACGAAAGCCATGGCTTTTGTAATCTTTTGTTTGAATTCCATGTCTATCTCGCCTGATTTCCTGTTCTGGATCGATTCTTTGACTTCCTGGATACGTCTTGTGATATATGTCGGAACATCCTTGATTTGAAGGGACATCGTCTCTTTAAATGCAGGGTCTGCATCTGACAAAATGTATTCGGATTGAGAAATGTCCATATCTTCAGGAATTGCCATGATTCCGCAATCAATATCCAAAAGATCATCAATTGCACCGGCAAATGTCCTCTGGGTAAGTAAAGGGGATGCTATATCGACTGTTCTGTCTAGTATAATAAGCGTATCATATACAGATTGTGAGGAAAATGAAGATGGACCAATTTGTGCCTTTTGCTCTTCAAGAATGTTCTTAACTTTGGCTGAATAATCACCATATGAATAAATGGCGTTGAAGGAACCGTTAATTATCTGTATTTTCGTGAGAGTTCTGGCAACTGCTGTTAAATCATCGATATCTCCATCAATGAAGATGCGCTTGAAGCACCTTGGAGCATTTGAAAGGAAAAGGTACTCTCCTAACAAAAGTAAATCGTTGTGAAATTCAATTATATTTAATCTATCTCCGAAATTGTTCTTTTCAAGAAATTCTTTGTCAAAGAAAGGTCCATCTCTTGGAGAAACTAATACCCAAATCTTATAATTTGGAAGTTTTTGTAGATAAGGAATTGCGTATCTTGCGAATTCATCGTCATTGGGCAAAAATAAACAAATGCTTCCTTCTTTGTCATCATTTTCAATTTCTTCAAGATACTTAATTGCTTTAAACTTGGTCATTAAGACTTCTCTACTGAATAATCTGATAATTCTTCCTGCATATGATTTCGGAAGTGCACAGATCGCGTCTTCTGGAATGTCGGCTTTAATTTCGTCAAATTCTATCACAGCTTGTGACTGGATAGAAGCTAAAGGTGAATCAGGGAAGAGCATTGAATTCGATATCGTATGTTGTCAAAATTCAATTTACTTATCAAATAGCATCATATGATCATTCTTTATTTTGGATTTTATTTTTTCGGATTTCATATTTTCGACGATTATTTTTAGAATTCGGAAATTCGGATATTCAAATTTTATATAACTAATGTATAAAACAATAAATTATTCAGAAACGAAATCAAAGTAAATTCGGAAATAAAACAAAGTATTGGTGCGTTATATAAATGATATTGAATAAAACGCACCCTTTAAATGGAGTGTATGTCGATAATGCAAGCTTCAATGTTTATCATTAAGGAAATAAATATATCTTATATGACTTTCTTCTTCTTTCTAGATATCCAAATTTACCTTATCTATTTAGATTTCAGTAGAAAAATTGATATTAACAAGAAAAGACAATAAGAAAGGCGATTTCTCCCAGACATTCTGTTTATTTAAGATAATTTGTAAAGTTTTGGACGATACGTTGAATTTATTTGAATCATATTAATTATGAGTGCTTCCAACCGTTTTTCTATCATTTCTTAGGAAGAATTGATAAAAATAGAAAGATTTTAGGAGATCTTTTCGTTTTTGTCTGTTTTCAACATCACTATATGATATTTGGTTAATAACATGATTATATTGGTGATTTCGATTAAAATAAAAAAGAATTCTTTAATAAATTAACAATTTTAAATTAAATATAGAGTTTATTTTATTAATAATCTATTTATTGCTTTCCTGAAATAATTACCATAGAGGCATTCTTCTCAAGGATGTATTTATCAAAGTATTCTTTGATATTGTTAATATTCGTTGCGTTGAGGAGTTCATCCCATTTTCCAAGTGACATGTATTCATTCCTCAACAAAAGATTGTTTCCTAACTCATCAGCAATGGTCCTTGTCGATGATAATCCGCGAGCAAGTTGGCTCTTGACGCAAAGACGGCCAACATTGAGAGATCCTTCGATATTCTCGTTGCTGAATATTGTTCCAATGCTCTGGAAGATCGTATTGACCCAGCCGTTGAGATTATTTATTGATTCGTTACCGAAGAAAGCTGTGAGGCCAGAGTTACCGTAAGGGAATGAGTATGAGTTTAGTGTTCTTATATTTGTGTTCTCTATCAATGGAGAGACAGAATATTTTTCTTTGCTTCCAATTACGCTTTTAACGATTTGTGATGGAATGTAGAGTGGAGAATCGAGTGGTGGTGCTTCAAAGCCTATCGCTACGAAGGCATTGTCGCCTAATTGTGGTAACAAATATTGTTTTTGATTTGGTTCGAATTTTTGTACATGAAGATCGTTATCGGAAGCAAGCTTTGGATGAGAAGCAAGAGGCTTCAAGAACTGTGTAGCCTTTTCTACTGATTTCAGTATAACATCGTGAGGAAGACTCGTTACAGCGACAAAATACAAATTATCCTGATTGAAAAAGTTTGAATGTTGTGATTGAACCATTTCTGTGGTAATTTTCTGAATTGACTGATGGGAACCGAGAATCGGGAATCCAATGCTTGTTTTGAAGGAAATTTCATGGAGTTTGTCCCAAATAACTTCATTAATGTCTTGGCTGACTTCATATTCTTCGGCCAAAATTGTATCTCTTTCGTTGTCTACAATTGATTTTTTGATTCTTGGGTTTAAAACGAGTTGTGAAAGAACATCTGTAGCGACATCTAGCTTGTCGTTTGAGATTGTAGCATTGAAATTGGTTGTTACGCGTGATGTTGATGCCATAAGGTTGATTCCTTCGTATTCAGCAAGTTGTTCAAGCTTTCTTTGTGGATATTTCTCGTTGCCTCTGAATATAACATGCTCTAAGTAGTGAGAGACACCGGAATTTGAAGCATTCTCGTACATACTTCCTGATTTGATCCAATAACCAAGAGTAGTAGCTTCTCCAATTACAGGAATAGTTGCAACACGTACTCCATTTGATAATTTAGAGATTTGTGGAACGGCATAGCGACTAATAATTGACATTTTTTTTAAAGTTGGCTACACGAACAAAAAAATTTTTTTACAAAATTTTGAGGAATAAAAAAGGTTAAAAACAAAAGAAGCCAATTGATGGTACTAGAAATGTATTTTATTACAAACAATTATATTCTATTTGAATAACCCGTTTCCCATATTTCATATGCGTATACAAAAAAAATCGATTTTAACACAAATGAAATATACTAATCATTTGTATTGCTGACTATTGTTTCTTTTCGTTCTTTTCTTCCTCAGCTTTTTCTCCTTGGTTTTCTTCTTCATTTCCTTCTTCTTCTCCTTCTTCAACAGCTACTTCTTCAAAGAATTGTTCCTCTTCGAAGTATTCTTCTTCTCCATTTCCTCCTTCGTCTTCTTCTTCTGGGTGGAAAGAAGATTCATCATGATCTTCTTCTTCAGCGACTTCTTTCTGTAGATTGGAAGCATCGAAAGTAGTTCCTGTATTGCTGATCATTTGATCGAAGGATTCAAAGTGGAAGTCTGACTTTTGTAAGTTTCTGCATGGAGAAATTATTAATCCTTTTGTAGGCATTCCGAATTGTTCAAGAGTAAATTTAACTCCATCACGTACAAATTCTAATGGCCTTCTTCCATTGTGGCCACCTGTAAGCTTTACCATTTTCTTGTTCGAACCTCCATAAGCTTTAAAGAGTTGTTCGCAATGGTCGAAAGGAATAAGTTTGTCATCTGTTGCTTGGGCGAAAAATACCGGTACAGTTTTCTTAGGAACGATCTCAAGTGGAGATACTGTATTGAAATCAAAATGGGCTTTCTCTTCGACTTTACCTTTAAGCATCCATAGAGTTGGCTTCATGAACATTGTTCCGACGTGATGTTGCTTGGCAATGGCTTTGACCATGTTTCTGATTGATGTAAATGCAGAGTCTGAAATAATGCCTTTTACGTTTGGATCGTCGATAATCAGAGCTGTGGCAGCACCCATTGACCTTCCCCATAAAACAAAAGGTCCGAAATGGTAATTTTCGTGTAAAAATTTCAATAAAAACTCTGCATCGCCTTTCTCGTGATAGCCAAGTGTAACATATTCGCCATCACTCATTCCACATCCTATTGAATCATAGCAGACAACGAAAATGTTATGTGAACAAACGTTAGGAACTAAAAATTGTCCTTCAAGTTGGGAAGAAGCATTACCGTGCATATAAACAAGGCATGGACCTGGATTTTTAATGCTCATGAGACCGGTATGATAAATTGATCCTCGCATTTTTAACTTTCTTGGTAATTCAATTTCGAAAGGGGTTCTAACGAAAAGGCCACCTCCATCTTCTTCATCATCAGTTTCAAGTACTTTAGGAAGCTTTGCTAAATCATATGTTGAACGTGGAGGCCTTATAATAGCTTCTACAGCTTGTTTTATTGACATTTAATAATTTTTAATAAAACGCCCCCTTGATTATTATTAAATTTTTTGTAAACCTAGCAAAATCCACGGAAAAGGTGACGATTTTTTGAATAACAATGTAAATGACAATAATGTTTTGGTATTGGATTCTCTATAAAATATTTTTGAAGTCACTTTTCCCCTATTATCGCTAAATTTTGGAGTAGGGGTAATTTTAGCTAAAAGTGACACGCCCGTGAAGGGTGTGATTACCGATCGGTAATTTCGACAGTTTAGAATTTAAAATTTTTTATGGAACTGTTGCGAGTTTCATAAAGAATTTAAGGAATATAAGCAAAGATTTGAATCAAAATCTTAGACCTAAGCCGCTCGATTCGCTCGCGGCTTCCGCGAATTACAGATCAGCAAAGATTTGAATCAAAATCTTCGAACTAAGCCGATCGCTTCGCTCGCGGCTTTCTTTATTATTTTAAATTTGCATATTTCCATCAAAAGTTCATAAGGTAAAAAATTTCGTTTATATTATTGCAAAATAAAATCTTCATTATCAAAATAATATTAAATGATAATATAATATAATTTATAAACAACTATTATTTAATAAAGTTTAATTGCCAAGGTTCATCTAATTTTTTGATTTTTAATGTTTTATGAATTTTATTTATCATGTATATATCTAATGAAGATTATATATGTAGAAGATAAGTACCTTAATATGTACGTAAATTTTAATGAAATTTATACAACATTATAAAAATTTATGAATAAAAACTTGATATAAAATAACATTTTTATTTTTACTAAGAAAAAAAAGTTTTTGATAATAAATTTATTTTATTTCGAAAAAGTAGCAATAATCGTAAAAGGGTATTGATAGGCTTGCTAAAGTAACTAATTTTAGCTGTCAAATACTTTTGTATTTTGAAGTAAATTAGTATAAATTTGTTTTTACTTTTATTTCGAAAAAGTAACAATAATCGTAAAAGGGTATTGATAGGCTTGCTAAAGTAACTAATTTTAGCTGTCAAATACTTTTGTATTTTGAAGTAAATTAGTATAAATTTGATATTATTTTAACTCCCTTTGAAAACCTCAATTTTCCATACAGAGGGAACGGGAATAGCATCCAATATTCCCTGAGAATGGTTGCGCATTCTCAGTTCCCTCTATATTTCGAACGAAGCTCTCATCGGTCTTTTTTTTAATACTAAACGTTTTTTTCCCTGTCACTTTTAGCTAAAATTTGGGTTTGCCCTAAATTTTGACAATTTTGACGATAGAAAATTGTGGGATAACAAAAATAGTCACTTCACAAATCTTTATGTCTGCAACAAACGTTCAGCTTGTTAAATACTCAGCTAATGGCGTTACAGTAGAGCTTCTTGGTAAGCCAGGCATGGTTACAAAGTATCGTGAGGACCAATGCTCTCTTAAAGAAGCTTTGATTGATGATACAGTCTGGGCCAACTCCAGCAAGGGTGAAGTTGCTGCCCAAGCTGATCTTGCTAAGCTTGGATGCTCTGGCCAAGCTCTTTTGGAATTAATCATGAAGAAAGGAAAGTATTCATTAACAGCTCAAGAAAAACGTGAAATTGTCGAAAAACTTCATAACCAAGTTGTCAATTTCATTCATGAGAACTTCATCGAGCCATCCTCAAGAACACCACATCCAGTTGTTCGCATTGAAAACGCACTTAAAGAAGTTAAGTATAATCTCGATACAGAAAAGTCTGCAGAAGCTAATGCTCGTGCAATTATTCCAAAGCTCATGACAATTATTCGTTTAGAAGAGTCTATTATCGAAGGCCAAGTTGCTGTTCCAAATGCAAAGCTTGGACCAGTCGTAGGCCTTATTTACAGCTTCTGTACCGTTAGAAAGGAAGAATACGGTCCAGAAAACGCTTATTTCCAGGTTACAATTACACCAGGCAAATTTGACGATTTCAACAACCAGATTTCAAAGGCAAGTGGTGGCCAAGCTGTTTTCAGTATTGCTGGTGCTGCTGCTTCTGGCGAAAAGGTCGGAGAGAAGGAAAATAAGAAAGTTGTCAAGAAAGGCGGAAAAGGCGGTCATGGTGGTAAGGGAAAGAAATAAAGTAATATTGTGATTGATTAATCTATAATATTAATTGATTTTTTTAAAAAATTATATTTTTTTATAAAAATTAACATGAAAAGATCGTAATTTGTATGATACATCTACTATATTTTTTCATATAAATTCGAATTGTGCTGATTATAGTTTGTTCTTTCGAGTTTAATATCATAATTCTATCAAAATTAAACAATATAAAGGAGAATGAGGAATGACTAAGATATGTAGAATCTCATATTATCAATACTTTGGATATATATAAAAACAATTCGGTTGATCAAAACCATAACGGGCTATTTTATAATTATACTATAAGAGATCGCCAGCTTTGTTTAAAACTATACAACAATAGACTTTTTGAGATCTATTTTCTCTTGATCGAAAAAATAATTTTATGAATCAGCAATACTAGTTCATGCCCATCATAGATTTATAATCTGTGAACTTCATGTTAAAATCACTCATATTAAATATGCAAAAACAAAAGAAAAAGAAAAGAATAATTATTAATAATTTTCGGTAACATTTCGATATCTAAATAACAATTCCTTCACTCTATTTTCATCTATCATATCTTCATCCATATGAAGATGAGATAAGCGAGCTAATATTTTTGCATTTTGTCCAAAAGGTATTCGCTTTACTTTATCAAATGAATCATGATGGGAATCATCCTGCAGTCTCCTCCAGTGCTTAAGAAAAGGGAAATGCCATGCAATAATATCTGTTTGAGTATTTGTTGGTGGGGCAGGATATAATAATTCCCATGCTTCTCTGGAATTATTATCAATATGCATTGTAAAACCAGATCCGTTTGTCTTTTTCAATAGCCACTGGTCATTAACATAGCTAAAAGGTCCATAGCCATTCTTAAGAATCATAAGAATCCCATCGTCAACATGAAGATTAATTCTAAAAATAGGAATTGCTTCTATATCATTATCAGGTAGAAAAGTGAGCATATATAATTTTTCAGTATCATATATTTGGTCCGCGTCAATTCTAATTAACCATTCATTGTCTGGAATGAACTTATATACATAATTGTAATATGAATCAAGAGCACGGTTTGCATCATACTTTTGAAAGTAAAGTTCATCGTTCGCAGGTATTACATCGTAATCATACTTAATTGGAATGAATGTTGGATGTTGTCGGCAAAAATTTAGAATTACTTTATTTGTACCATCTGTTGAATTGACATATCCAATAACTCCTTTTTTTAAAGCCGGTATTAGCGAGTTTAAGGATGCCTCAATTGTATTTATCTCGTCTTTTACTCTTATAAAAGCCCATGGATCAACAGATTGTTGCGTTCCTCTATAGCATAAAGGGGCATATCCATCCATTTTATCGCATACTTCAACTTTTTTTATCCAAAAGTTTGGTCCAGTTAAATCATATTTGATGAAGCCGGTCCAAATCGTTATTAAGCGAAAAAGTTCATAAGCACTAAGTAAAAACATTAGTGTAGAATAGCTATGATGTGTTGAGCAAAAGCATTCCATTAAAAGTTAGATTCAAAAAATTTGTAGATGCGGGTGCCATAAAGACGATAGACCAACTACAAAAAAGCACTTTTAAGGCTATTATATTGAGAACTTAGAATCAGGATGATTTATATAAGGTTATTTTTGTGATGTTTACACTATCCTCTATTGGATTTTCGAAATCCAGAGTATAATATATCTTAAATTGAAATGTATGTGTTTCAAAACGATTGAAAAATAGTAATTTCAGAAAGCAAATATTAAATAGCGTATTCTTTTAGCGCGCCGCTGAGCTGATCTGCGCAATAAGCCAATAAAATTCCCTTCTATAGCAAATCCAAATGGAGAAAATGATTATATATGATGTGTATTATCATATCACTTACATAAAATCAATAAATGTCACAATCATTTCTGAAGAATGTACAAAATTAATTTGAAATTGCTCATACTACATTTAAATCCAGATATAATCTCATAGTCAGCTATTAGAGACCAAATTAATAATAAAACTTACTAAAACTCAACTCAAATAAGCATTCGAAGACTATGAACAAGCTCTGGAGTTCACACTCAAAGTTAATAAGTCAGATTTAGAAAGAATTGACGCATTAAATGGTGAGGTTGAAGATTTTGATAAGTTCTTTAATGAATACGTATATGTAATTCTCGCATCTGGATTCAGAGCCAATGTTGCAGCACGTCTCTGCCCTTTGTTTGTTTATTAAATTGTTCAATTTTATATTAAAGAAGTAAATTTTGCAATTCTGTGTACCCTTATTATATGTTGATTGGTTTTATTGTGTTTTTATTCACCAATTGTCGTCCTATATTCGATTTGAAATAATTAACGTATAAAAAGAATTGTATGTCGTCGCGGAGGCAATTCCAGGCGATTCCAATTCGATCTAAGCCTGAACGCTCAATCAAAATCAGGAAAAGAGAGACTAACTTCAATACTGAGGCTGATATTCCAGTCAAACAGACTCAAATTTCAACATTACGCGCAAAGACAACAAGTAGAGCAAAAACATCATACGAAACTTCAAGAAGCAATGTTTCAGTTGTTTCCAATGTTACTAGTAGATCTTCTCCTAAGCAAACTCAGCAAAGCGAAATTTCAACACTTAATAATCAAGATTTAATAGGTTTAAGAGAAGATTTATTGAAATCTCACAACTTTTCAGAAGTAAATCCACATGATTTAAATATGCTTTTATCTCATTTAAGAGTTTATTCAACTGATTGTGTTTTATCTCGTGATTATGATAAAGCAGAAGCGTGCGATAACTTAGCCAATGAAATAAGAACATACTTAAAGCATCCAGATACATCTAGATCTCATAACTCCGAAGACAATGATCGATTACACAATCAATTGATGCAATTTGCAGATAAACTTGATGAATTCGATCAGCAGACTATACAACGTCGTTCGGAGCTCGAAAAACGTCACGAATCCGATCTTTGTCAATTTGATCATTATTGGCAGACAGAAGCACCAAGAAAGTACAGAAAACCATCTCAAAAGCTTTTATCCTTATCAGAGAACGAGCGGAGAGTTGGCCTCCAAGGAGATTACAAACTAGCTAGAGAATTAAAAGCAAAAGCCGACAAATTACGAAAAATCGAAGCTGACATCGCTCAACAACGTCTTAATGCTGATTATGTTTCAGCTCGCGATAAACTACTTGACAAGCAGATGCAAGAAAGGGCCAGTTTCGATAAAATTCGAGCAGAAGCACGAGAAGCATTAGCTGCAAAGCAAGAAGTGAACATCAGAGCTGCCGCAAACAGAGAAAAGGTTTTAGCCTTCAAGGAAAGACATACTGCTATAACATCGTCACGTGCTGACAAACACAGCGTTGAACCATCAAAGTCATCAATTGCTTCAATGCTTGGCCGAGAAAAAGATTATTTACTCCTTCCAAAGCTTGTTCCTCCTGATTACAATGCAATAAGACAGAGTGAAAATGAAAAGAACAAGGAAGCATCAAAGAAAGGAAAAGAAACTGAAGAAAGATTGAAACAAAAAGACGAAGAAAGAATCAGATTTTTCGAAGAATACGAATCCAGAATGAAAAACAAAGCAAGTTTTATCCAACAAAACGAAAACAAAAAAGAAAAGAAAGAAGACAATACACAGAACCAAAACAATGAAGAAAATACACAGAATGAAAACAAAGAAGAAAAGAAAGAATCATCGTCAAGTAGTTCAAGTTCAAGTGATGATGAGCGCAAGAATCAAAATCAAAATCCACCTGAAAATCAACAGATTTCCCATGAAAATCCACAAAATACAAATGAAAATCAACCAAAATCTGAAGAACAGAACCAAAATTCCCAGGAAAATAAAACAGAAGAAGATGGTTTAGTTAAACCTGATCCATTACCTTCAGGATTGGTAACTCAGATCAAATCCGCAGTTGAAATAGATGATTCTAGAAAGCCTACAATTGTTTTAGGAGATAAAACTGAAAACCAAGAAGAAAAAAAGAATCATGATAAAGATAATGAATATTATTCCGATTACTATAATGGAGAAGAAGATTACTACTATTCAGATGATGATCATGGTAAATAATATGGTTGAATCATATTATTTTAATATTTGTATTTCATAATCTTGTTTGAATTAAATATTTATGATGTTTTTTGTTTGAATGTGTAACCCCTTTTAATTATTCTATGTTCTCAATTACATAAATTAAAAAAAAAGCAAACGAGAAGAAGAATCCAAAGATCGCCTTCGCATTCAAGAAGGACTGAACATAAGCGAATTCGATAAAAATCTTAGATTTGATCTTAAGTCCTACCAACTGTGTGGAGGAACAAGAATCGGATTTATTCGTTTCTGCATACGTTTAAACATCATCCCTAGTTGATTTAATTCGAATAGCAGCATTTGAATATATGTTCACGTGAAAATGTATTGGGAACTTTTATAGCAAAAGAAATTTTACTTGAAATTTTTGCAAGCATTCTATAATTAATCTATATGGTAGGGTTGAAACATATTAGTATAATATTTTTTCCTCGACCAAAAAGTGGCAAATTTTGATGCAAGAAGTCAAAGGAAAATCTCCTGCTTCTTCAAATCAAGGACCAATAGTTTCCAAATCACCTAATATAGAGAAATGTATCGGTCTTTCTATTAATGGGCAAGAATTTGATATTGGAATCTTCAAAAGTTCATTAGAATCGGCAGAATACTTTAAGATAAGAGATAACATCTGTTTTACTGACTCGGAAGTTATATTTGAAGAAGAAGCAACAGAAGAATCACAAGATTTTATTCAATCATTTTTCACAGACTATGTTCAATACATTGGAATTAAGGAGAAATCTCCAAAAGCTAAAAAACTAAAAGAAAATATTCACTACAAAATTTCATCAGATTTTGAAGGTTACTTACAGTATGAATTCTCAACAAATAGGTTTAAGAGCATGAAACTATATCCAGAGCAGCTCTTAGCTCTCATACTTTCATACATAAAACTCGGTTACGGGCAAGGAATAAACAAAATTATCATCGGTGTTGATAGTTTGATGCCATTAAAACAACAGCTTTTGATATACGATGCTGCTTCTATCGCCGGATTTACTAAAATCGTTTTGGTTCCAGAAATAATTGCATTCTCTACAAATTACATTAAAACAGCTCAAGAACGTATCACCAACTTGGTGGTTAACCATAATAATATGTTCGGACACCTCACATTTTCGAATAATCGATTACAATTAAATTCATTGGCCAAAAACGTGCAGAGCTATCAAAAATTGACTAATAAAATTATAATTGGTCAGCCGTTACATCTAAATGATAAGATTAAAAATCATTTTGAAACAATTCAAATTTCCGGAAGCATTATTGAAGGAATTTTAGCTTTTCATGCATTAAACATCAAGGCTTCTACAAATATAGAGGATGAAATCTCTCTTGGCCTTCCAAATACCGGTCCACTCGTATATTGTTGCGATAGCTTCGTTCCTTTTGTCATTCATAATGATTTACAGATTGTTGTATACACCAATGAAGTCGAAGTATGCAAATTCACGATCATTTGTCCAGGAGATCAAAATTTAGTTGATATCAAAGCTTATATCGAAGATTTTTCAATAATTTTCGAAACGGCATTCGAAGATATGGACCCAGCAAAGCAGGTTTTCAAGATCAGTGGCCACTCACAAAACGAAATCGAAATGATGAAGCACGTTAATGAGCAAATTTTAGCTGATGAAGGAGATGAAAGTGACGATGATGGTGTAGAATCCAAATTAGATGACTATATCAAAGCAGTAGACAAACTTTCCGCCGAAAAAACGAAATGGGGATTAGATTTGAAGCAGAAAATGACAGTAAGTGAGTTATTGGTTAAAGAGAAAGTGGATGTGAATACTATATTTCATGATAAGAAGATGTCTCAGCTTGATTTCTCTGTAAGATTCGCTCGTCTTGAAGATTCTTTGAAACAAATTGTTCCAAAGTATGAACGTCCATCAAACATTATATGAAATAAAATTGTATTAATAAAATCATGTTAATTTCTTAGTTATATTTTTACTTTTTCAATTTCCCTGAGATCAAAAATTTGATTATAACTGAGTCAGATTTTAGCATTTGTTCATCATAGTATTACCATTTTAAAGGTTCTTTGATATCCTATACTCCCATATCAGTGTTGGTCTCTATTGTATTTCAAATAGTTCTATAATTTGAAAAAAAATTCTCCATATTGAGTTGCAAAAGTAAAAAATTGAGCTATTTGAGATTATCAAAATTTGGAATTTATCCAAAATCTTAAGAAGATGTCCTCATATTCTCAAGATTAATATATTTAAAATTTATTGTTTATTCACCGCTTCATTTAAATTTTATATGAGAAGATATCAGAAATTAAACTTCAGAGAACTCAATTTTCAATTTTTATATTGTCTTCTGCAAGATCTAATGCTGTTTTTTCACCATTTTCCTTAGCTTCTTTATAGCATCAATAGAGATAAGATATTGAACAACTTCAAGTGCATTTGAAATTCACATATCATATATCTATAGCATGATATAAAGTAAAACTATTATATTGTGTATGGGTGCAAGGAATAATATTAATCATGTCGGCCTACAGAGTGCCTTGAATTGGTGGAAAATTGATAAGAGATAAGTGGTCGGTTAGACCCCCTAAATTTTTTAATGTCTGATTAAGAATTTCACCCAAATAAATTCAGTGAATTGCGAAGTATCTGTAAATACTACATCGATTCATATAATGCATTGTATCAGCTGAAAACGGAAAAGGAAGAAGAATTAAACTCAATTTACAAAATGATCAAAACAGAATTGATTGATTCAAAGAAAAATCTCCCAAAAAATATTATAATAGATATGTTAAACATCATTCCGTATAATAATCGTTATACAAAGTCATATTTGTCACTTGCCAAAAACATATCTGATGAATATCATGTCAAAGCGGTCAAAAATATTCCAACTATTTCTAATTTCTTGTTTCATAAAGAATATGGAATTAAATTAGACAAATCTGATGATTTCGAAAAAATTAAATCAGATAATCTCGATATTCATATAGAAAATACAATTTTCAAAGCAATTATGAATAATGACAAAGAAAGGTTCATCATATTCACTGAAAGAGATGAATTTGATAAAGATCAAAAACTTAAAAGCAAATTGTATCCATATTTTAATGAAGGATATTCATTACTTGAATTATGTTGTTACCACGGTACAGCTGATTGTTTCAAGTTATTAATATCAAAATTTCATTCAGAAATAACTCACACATGTCTTGAATTTTCATTTTTAGGCGGAAATCCAGAGATCATGAGTGAATGTTTGAAATATGAAGAACCAAGTATATTGTGCATGAAATATGCAATTATATCACACAACATTGATTTTGTTACATTTTTGATGAATGAATACAATATAGAGATCGGTTTAAAATACTGTACATTTAATAATAATTTTGAATCATTTTTAGTTTATTTCGATCAAACTAATGATATTAACCAATGCTTTCTTTATTCAACGATTTTTGGCATTCCATCCCTTTTCGAATATTTCCTTTCACATGGTGCAACAGCCCTTCATTTTGTAGCACGTTATAATTTTAAAGAAATAGCCGAACTTCTTATTTCACATGGTGCAAATATCAATGAAAAAGATAATAATGGAGAAACCTCTCTTCATATTGCTATAGCATGGCGTGATAGTAAAAAAATAGCCGAACATCTTATTTCACATGGCATAAATATCAATGAAAAAAGTGAAAATGGAGAAACCACTCTTCATATTGCAGTATTTAATAATAGTAAAGAAACTGCCGAACTTCTTATTTCACATGGTGCAAATATCAATGAAAAAAATAAAAATGGAAAAACCGCTCTTCATATTGCAGTATTTAATAATAGTAAAGAAACTGCCGAACTTCTTATTTCACATGGCATAAATATCAATGAAAAAAATAAAAATGGAAAAACCGCCCTTCATTTTGTAGCACGTTATAATTTTAAAGAAATAGCCGAACTTCTTATTTCACATGGTGCAAATATCGATGAAAAAGATAATTATGGAAAAACCGCTCTTTAGGGTTGTTAAAAATATCAAAAATTAGCGTTTTGAAGACACCATGGTGTCTTATAATTTTCCCTTCCTTATTGGCGTGTAGAAATAAATGCGCCAATAGATTGAAGAAGAAGAATTGTTTTTCTCTTAATGAACTTTAATCCTTTTGATATAAGAATATTAAAAACATTAATATAATTTCGATTTCGGAAATTAAATTTCCAAATTTTTTGTCGATTTCGGAAATAACAGGATCCCGCATCCAACACGCAACAACAAAACACAAAACACACTTTTTGGTTCTTTCATCGTTTTAATCGTAATTTATGTAATACATGATTTGGATAAATTTTACAAAAATAGAACCTATATTATATTCTTTTCAAAGATTCTTGCAAATCATCAAAAATAATTGTATTTTAAAAAACGATCAAATTATCCTTTCATTATTTTAAACTTAAATTAGTTTTTATGATTGACTAAAGCAATCATATTTATTCATCATTAAATAAACAAAAAAATAATATTTGAGAGTTATTTCAAAAAAAAACGCATTGAATTTATTAATTTGTCTCAATTTCAGTATTATAAATTTTTATAATTTCAATATTTTGAAATACACTTTTTAATATTTCAATATTTATGATATTTCAATGTTTTAAGTGGTCTCAAATTGAGCTTCTCAAATATAAGTTGGCCTATTCAAATAATAAAATTAAATAATATTTAAAATAATAAATAAAAGTAAGGGTTTCGTTTTGCTAAAATTGTCACTTTTATAGCATATTTGTTTTTGGATGTTTTGCGAAACCAAAAAAAAAACTATGATATACAATGTGTGTGTAAAGAAAATACTTTATTTACTAGTTAAAAAATCATTTGGTATTGATCAAGTTATTTTTTCTGGATAAGATATTATATGGATAATTGGATAGAAAATACAATTATATAATCTTGTACCTGGTTTAATTAAGCTAATTGTCATCAGAAACTTGTAATTTTTATGAATTTCAGATTTTCGTTTCATTACTGCTTTTCTTAATAGGTCAAGTTCTTATTTACGTTATAAAGTATGATATTTACAAATATCAAGTTATCATGTTTTTTGAGAAATTATGAGAAACAAACAAAAATGAAAAAGATAGGAATAGCAATGAATAGTGATGTGGGTATAGAAAATGTAAGAGATATGAATGCAAAGCAATCAGTATTTAGGACATTGACCATAGATTTCGAAAAAAAATGCTGCATATTGAGCGAAAACTATGATTATATTATAAGGCTGTCATTTAAAGCATAATGAAACTATTCCCTTTTCATTTTAATCGAATAAGATAGTAAAGATTTTTGAATTAGCTAGAAACTGATGAGATGTTTTCACAAATCAGATTTTTAATCTCTATAATGCATAATTCACTCAATATCTCAATTTTGATATTGCGAGATATTTTTGCTATCGGTTTCGCAATTTTGACACAATAGCAAGAGGGTTCTATAAGCATTATTATCAACGTAGAATCTGAATATCATATCAGAAAATGTCGCAAATCTGACATTTACCCGACCAAATAGCAAAAATAATTGAATACTATTCGCAAAAACTTTAAAAATCGATAAAAATATGAAATATAGATATTAAAGAGACTTTTTATATAATATTCATAAAGATTTTCCAAAAATATGATACCGCAAAATTAAAAAAGTGACGTCTTGAGTGGAGTCAAAGGTCGAAATTGCTAGCTAAATGTTTTTTAGCGAAATTGCGTATTGTACGTTTTTTTCGCAAAACGAAACCCTTAATAAAAGTGATTGAGGTCATAGCAAAACGGCTGTTTCAGTCATTAATTCTTAAAAATAAAAAGGGTAAAAACTAAATACAATGGGTAAAATTCAATAGTGTCTGTGCTATCGTTCAATTTGAAGGTGTCTTTTGAAACCGCAAGACACATTGAATTTTTGAATAGTGTATTATGGTTTGACAGACACCAATGAAAAAAATAAAATGATATTTATTTTAAATATATAAGATCCTTATATAAAATATAAATATTTTATCGTTTTATTTTCTTGTTTTAGAAATGTTTTTTATTGAAAAATCAATAAAACTAACTCCAAAATAAAATTTTTGATTTAAAGACACTATGATGACACCAGGCAAATCTTCCAAGACACCTATCGTCGGGAATCTAACAACCCTACCGCTCTTCATATTGCTGTAGATGAAACTAGTAAAGAAACTGCCGAACTTCTTATTTCACATGGTGCAAATATCAATGAAAAAAATAAAAATGGAAAAACCACTCTTCATATTGCAGTATTTAATAATAGTAAAGAAACTGCCGAACTTCTTATTTCACATGGTGCAAATATCAATGAAAAAAATAAAAATGGAAAAACCGCTCTTCATATTGCAGTATTTAATAATAGTAAAGAAACTGCCGAACTTCTTATTTCACATGGCATAAATATCAATGAAAAAAATAAAAATGGAAAAACCGCCCTTCATTTTGTAGCACGTTATAATTTTAAAGAAATAGCCGAACTTCTTATTTCACATGGTGCAAATATCAATGAAAAAGATAATAATGGAGAAACCTCTCTTCATATTGCTATAGCATGGCGTGATAGTAAAAAAATAGCCGAACATCTTATTTCACATGGCATAAATATCAATGAAAAAAGTGAAAATGGAGAAACCACTCTTCATATTGCAGTATTTAATAATAGTAAAGAAACTGCCGAACTTCTTATTTCACATGGTGCAAATATCAATGAAAAAAATAAAAATGGAAAAACCGCCCTTCATTTTGTAGCACGTTATAATTTTAAAGAAATAGCCGAACTTCTTATTTCACATGGTGCAAATATCAATGAAAAAAATAAAAATGGAAAAACCACTCTTCATATTGCAGTATTTAATAATAGTAAAGAAACTGCCGAACTTCTTATTTCACATGGTGCAAATATCAATGAAAAAAATAAAAATGGAAAAACCGCTCTTCATATTGCAGTATTTAATAATAGTAAAGAAACTGCCGAACTTCTTATTTCACATGGCATAAATATCAATGAAAAAAATAAAAATGGAAAAACCGCCCTTCATTTTGTAGCACGTTATAATTTTAAAGAAATAGCCGAACTTCTTATTTCACATGGTGCAAATATCAATGAAAAAAATAAAAATGGAAAAACCACTCTTCATATTGCAGTATTTAATAATAGTAAAGAAACTGCCGAACTTCTTATTTCACATGGTGCAAATATCAATGAAAAAAATAAAAATGGAAAAACCGCTCTTCATATTGCAGTATTTAATAATAGTAAAGAAACCACTGAACTTCTTATTTCACATGGTGCAAAAAAATAATATTTCCGCATCATATTCCTCTCTTTCTATCTTTCTCCCTCTGATGTAGTTTACATGAAAGTAACAATATCATAATATTCCTGGTTCTATTTTAGATTCCCAGATAATTGGATTTTTCATTTCTAAAGGAACTGCTTGCTCTAAGGCGGAATATATTGATAGGAAATCAATGAGTTCTCTCAAAAATAATCGCCTTTTAATATTCAATACTATTGTCCACGGTTTGGCTAAATGAAGACTATCGTTAATACCCAATATTTATATGGCATGGCGCATATCTAATCATAGGTCATAAATCTACATCATATTTATATTCTGTTTGTAAAATAATTTTAAGATTTTGTAAACGAATAAGCTCCAGAAAATCAATTCATGATAAAGACGATAACAATAATTCTCATTATTTAATATTAAATTTCCCATTACCACCATATGACGAGAATTCAGAGGGCACTGCCCCTTTTAACCAAATAGGTAATTGTTTCTTTGATCTATTTAGGTCATTCACAGACTTCTCCTATTTTACCATAGTATTAAAAATGTACCGTAGGTCCTAAAGATTGCGTTAGAGAAATTGAGTAGTAATGCATAACAGTTGCTATATATTCTGATGATTTAGAATGAATTCCGTATAAGTGTCAATATATGTAATTATGTTGCATATCCGATCACTAAAACCAGATATCTTGTGATTGCATAGTGTATAGTGTCCTTGTTCCACTCACCTTAGGGCAAGCAGATTTAAGGTGATTTTTGAATTGTCTTCTACAGTATCCAATGTTTTTTCCATCATTATTTTTTTTTTGAGTCTTTATTAGTTCCAAAAGAGATAACAACTTCAAGATTATTATTATTTAATGCATGAATGAGTGGAATCCTGGCCATATAAAATCAGAGATTCAAAATATATAGTTCTTCTCTCATAAGAATAATTTCATATTATATTCAGAACAATTATTCTGATTACATAATACAATCAATGACTGCATGTAAATACTTTCGAATTTATCGATATCTTTATGTCAAACATTTATTCAAACAAATTATTATGTAAAAATAAATTATTTCTGTGTCTTTTTGTGTTTTGCAATATAATCATCAACAAAATTATCAAAAGCTTCATCATCACTGAACTTTTCTGGGTAGAGTTCCATGAATTTTGTTGAAGCTTCGAAGCGCAATGCAGTTTCTTCGTCACTGGATTGATCTTCAGTTCCGAGATTGTATCTTTCGTTGCTATTATTCCTTAGCATGAAGTGAGGATCGGATCCTTCTGATGCCAAGTTGAAGAAAACTTCAGATGAATCAGAATGTGTTAATTTGTATAACTCATTAGGATCAATAGACTTAACATATTGTTCTTGAGTCTTTGTAGGCGTTGTTTTCGTAGACGTTCTACGTGTCTTTGTTTTAGTAATTTGATCTTTAGGTTCTTCTAGATTTAATGGGTTCAGCATGTAACCCATTCCATTTTCCTCTAGCTCTTCTGCCATACTTTTAATACTAAACTGAGATGTGTTCTGGGAACGTCTCTTTCTTCGGAAATGAATTGGACTCATTTTCTCCTTCAATGTGAAAATGCTATCGGTTGCTTTAGATGATTTGTAACGAACCATAATATCTTCTTCTTCTGAAAATTCTGCTGAGGAAATATCTAATTTTTCTTCGATTTCGCGTTCTTCTATAGTTTGGTCAGTTGTATTATTCTTTTGTTTCTGTGCTTTTGGAGATACGAAAGGAGTTGGCCTCGTTTTCGGTAGCTTTGGCGAATGATTTGACATCGAATTTAAAGACTTTGAATCGTCGCGCGCAATAGATCTACATTGAGCAATTGATACAGGTCTTGTATGAGAATATGGATTTTTGGATGATTTTTTGTTGTTTCTACTTTCACCTTGTTTTCCCAATTGATTCCAAAATATAGTTAAATCGAGCGCATCTGTTAATATTTCGCGGTCAATTGACTTAAGATCTTTTCCCAATGCTATATATTCTTCGGGTAATTGACCTTGAGCCATAATTTTTGACAAAAAAAACGATTGAAAAAAAAATTTTTTAGTGTCTATACATTATACTCCCCCTAAAATTTTATTAAAATATGAGTGATCAAAATACTGAACAAAGCCAGCCTTTTGCAGATATATTTGCTGCCATCGCAATGATGCTCAAAGATAGGTATCCAATATTCTGCTCAGTTTTTGCACCTCAAGAGAATTTCAAAAAAAATGACCTCAATTTACAAGATGATTTCCCAGATTACGAACTAAAAGATCAAGACTATAATTATAGCACCGAAACTACCTCTAATTTAGCTGAATACGAAAAATATGATTTCGATATTATTTAATACGGATTAATTTTGGTTCAAAGTATCATCAATTATAGAAACAATATGTTTCAATTTCATCCATATTACTACTATCAAATTATTAGGTAATTTGTATTTCAAATTGATGATATTGATTTAGAAAATAGAATCTTTCTATCTCAAATGTATTTCTCTGTTAGTAGCTTGGACAATTTCTGAAAACTCTTTGATTTATAAAAGAATTCTACCCAAAAATTAACTTTAGTTCTGGAAATACTTTAAATTAAATGATATACCCGGAACATTTTAACTATAGATGTATATCTAGTCTTTTTTATAATAAAGTTTCTATATATTTTAATCAGATTGGAATTTTATACTATTTTGAATGTTTTCGTTAAAGTATAGACTAGTATTCTTGTTTGAATTAATAATTCAAATAAATGAGATAAAAAAATTTAAAAAAATTCAAAATTCAATTGGACTTGCACAATATGAAGTTATTCAATAGTCAAATTTCAAAGATTTGAAAGAATGTCGGTGTTCAACTCAGATAATAAAACAAATACACAAATGAATTCATAACGTAAGTTCAAAATTAGGAGTTTCAAGCTTTGTTTCACACGGAATTGATCCTAAAATATTATAAGTTGGAGTGTGTTTATTGTGAGATCTTTGTTTTTTTCAGCATTGCGCATCAAATATGTTATTTTGTTGCTCCTTTTTCAACCAAGTAATTGACAATTTCATTTGAATTGCATTTAATCGCAACAGTGAGAGGGCATTCATTATATAGAAATGAACTTCATATGCCAATAGAAGATATGATAAGAGTTAAAATTTCATAAGGCAATGATAAACTTGAAATTATAGAGAAATTCATAAAATGATAAAATACATCAAAGGAAGAAGAATGCTATAAACTAATGATAAATATGAAGAGAAATAGAATGACATAAAGTGATGAAAGATGTAACGAAAAAGAAAATATCATAAAGCATTGATAGACATGAAAAGTAAGAGAATATTGTATATCAATAAATGATATAAAATTCTAATGAATTTCATGAAAGGATAAAGAAAAAGTTTCATGTTGATGTCTGCACCATTTTCAACAAGGTACTTGACAATCTCAAGAGAGTTCTGTCTAGGGCTGTACAAGATTTAAAAAAACATTGCCGGGTTACCGTAGAGGCCTAAAAAAATCGCGCCTCGGCGGCAAGCCGCCTCGGCATTAAGAATGCGCATCTAAATTTTTATATGTCCTTCTTTCTTTTATTTTTCCCTTCCCTTTCTTTTCTTTTCTTTTTTTTCCCTCCTCTTGCTCTCATTTACCTTTTTTTCCTTTTCTCATCATTTTTCAAAATTTTAAATTTTTATCAAAAATCTTGCCTATAAAAGCAGACTATGGAACCTTTTAATGCCTCTTAATCAATATTATACAGCATAAAGCATATTAAATGAAAGTAATTACGTATAAATTTATTTTATTATCTTATTTATTAATTCTTTAGCATGTATTGTTTAATATTAACTTTTCTGTACATTAAATATGATATCTCCAAAGTATGAATGCCTTGTAACGAAACGAAAACTTAATTTTATGTTGAATATTTGTCACAAACATTAGATTATTAAAATATATGTTGGATATCCCTTAGTATGAGACTTCATGACTCTTGTAGTCTAACGTGAGCTTTGGATTGCAAGCTCTGTGGTTAACGAACATAAATTAATTGTAAAGTTTTCAAAATTTTTCATCGTTTCTATCAGCATCTATTTTTCCTTTAAAATAATATATTTGTATGAATACAATATTTAGTAATTTTTTTATTTCCTATAATTTCATTCAAAATTTCAGAAAAAATTAATTTCTATTCAATATTATTTCAGCTTCAAAACACTTCATTCTTATAGATGTTGATTCACTAAAGTGTGATACTCAATGTCTTATTTCAATGAAAATTGTTCTGCAAATTTATTTCACTTTTGACCTCACTTTTTCCGTAATTCAATTTTTTACTTTTAATATTTTAGATCTTCATAAAATCATTTGAAAAATTAACCATATAAAAAAATCAAGTTAACAATTCACTTTTTCCGTAATTCAAAAATCAAAAATATAAATAATATATCTTTTTATCAAATATTATTATTATATTCTATGAAAAATGAGGTCCGGAAATTTTGCGGATTCCCGTAACTCAATTTTACGGAAAAAGTGCAGTAAACTATTCAAAATACGGAAAAATTGGTGTAAACTAATGATTTTACGGTAAAATCACGGAAAGTCCCGGAAGAATATATGTGCCTATATGAAATTATACAAAAATGAATCAAACGCATTTTAAAAGATTGTTCTTGTATTATAAATGCTATTCGCAGATTTATTAGTTGAAGAAAATTACCAAATTTTTGCCGATTTACAAAAAATGATTTACAAAGCATATTTTTATAAGGCTTTAAAAATCTTTAAAATGTGACCGGTGACGGAAATCCATGGTAACCAACCGCGGTTCCCGTTTGGAATGCCATAGTTCTGTCGAATTGCAAAAGTGAGAGGACACTCATCATTGCCAAGAGAATTTGATTAATAAATGATGCATATTAAAAGAAAATGGATTATGTGAGATGAGAAGAAATGTCATTAAGCAATGATATATATGAGAACACTTAGAATGCACTTAAACAAAGAGTGATTTGTATATAAAGTTAATTTCATTAAATGAAAATGGATATAAAAATAAAGAGAATTTCATATAATTAAAGATAATTTCATAAAACAATGATAGATGTAAAAAGAACATGAATATAATGAATTAATGATGGATATGAAAATAGAATGGATGTCATAAAGAAATGATATATGTAAAAACAAAGAAAATATAATAATGAAATAATAAATATGAAAAGAAAGACAATTCGATAAACTAATGATAAATTTGAAATTCAAGTGAACAGTATAAAACAATAATAAATATGAAAAGAAAGAGAATAAGTTTCATGTTGACATTTGCACCACGTTCAACTAATAATTTAACAATTTCCATAGAATTTTGTTCAATTGCAACAGAAAGAGGACACTTATAATTACCTAAAGAATTTGGTAAAATAATAGGTGATATCAAATAAAATAGAATATTCTGAGAAGGAAAGAGGATGTAATAATGCAATGATAGATATAGAAAGCAAAAGAATTTCATAAAATAATGATTGATATCAGAAGAAGGAGAATTGGAAAAGTCAGTGATTGACATAAATAAAAAGAGATTATAATAAATCAACGAAAAATATTAAAAGAAAAGCAATGTAATAATATGAAAGAGGAAATCATCAAATAATTATAGATCTTAGAAGAAAAAGAATTTCATTATATAATAATAGATATGGAAAGAAAGAGGATATAAATATTGTTGATATCTGCTCCATTTGAAATTAAGTATGATGCTATATCATAGTTTCCAAAATGCAAACTTTCTGCTAAAGAATCAGGCTTTTGTCCAAGTTTAGTTTTGAGATATTCAGCAACTTCATAGTTTCGATAATCTAATGCGGTGTTGATTATATTATCGAATGACTGTCCGTCTTCTATCATTTGCATAAAAATGTTTTTATTTCTGCCTTTAATGGCTAATTTTGCAGAATCTTTAGAATACTGTGCTCCTTTATTTTTAAGATAATTGAAGCATAATTCAGATCCAAAATTGCAAGCACAATCAAGAGGAGTAAATCTAAAATTAATTGTCTCATCAATTTCAAGGTTTGGGAATTTGCTTTTAAGTTCATCAACTTTATCCCAGGCAATAAAATGTAGAGGTGAATCGTCTGAAAATATATTGAGAATATTATCTACTTCATAGTAAGGTGTGAAATTATTGAAAGTGAATCCTTTATGGAATAATAATGTCGCCAGTTTATCATTTTCTGGTTTGATTACGCATGAAAATGCATCTAAAATCTTATGATATAAATCAGCAAATAATACAATATCTTTATTTCGGATCTTTGAAAAGCTATCAATCAAGTAAAGTATCATCTTGATAGATATTTTACCTGTTTTAATTAGAACTATTATTTGTGAGGAAAATTCTAAAATATTATTGGAATTTACTTCCCAGATCATTTTTGAAGCTTGATTAGGGTATTCAAATACTTCAAGAGGTTTTATGTTGCTAAAAAACTGTTCTTTTTCTATTGTTGGCTGTTCTGAAAATGCCATTTTTATTTTATAAAATTTTGAATAATTGTAAACGGATAATTAGGGGGTATATCTAAAAAATTTGGGACCCTTATATAGAAGAAAAAAAAATGAATGAAGAAAGCATTGCATGGAAATTAGCTCAAGTTGCTATGAAAGCTGGGCAGCCAAATGATGCTATTTTGTATATTAAGCAAGCTTTGAAAACAAAAACTGATTTAACAAAAGAAGAAATCGACTTTTTCGCACATACATATAAAAAAGCAATTAATTCTCCGAGAAATGCACTTGTAGCAATGGATAACCAACTTCAATTACAATCACCGGATGTATTAAAGGCTATAGAAGAGCATAGGGCCGTACTTATTGAAGAAATAACGAACATTTGTCAAGATATATTAAACATAATAGACTCAACTTTAATACCTACTACATCCAATGGTAAATGTATTATCTATTTAAATAAGCTAAAAGGCGATTATTACCGTTATTTAGCAGAATATGCAAGTTCTAAAGAAATCCAAGAAGGCCACGCTAGCCGTGCAAAGACATGCTATGAAGCAGCACTGTTATCTGTGAATGATGAAATGGTTGTATCAGATCCACTAAATCTAGGACTAATTCTCAATTATGCAGTCTTTCAATATGAAATATTAAACCTACACGACGATGCAATTGATAAACTTGATACAGCATTTAATGAGGCAATAAGATTTTTAGAAGAATTGCCAGAAGATCAATATAATGAAGCTGCTATCATGTTACAGCTAATGAGAGATAATTTATCACTTTGGAAGGAGCAAAGAGCTGAAGAAATCAAAATCGAAACTTCAAAATAATAATTTTCATTCTCAGACTTTTTCATAGTGATTACACTCAAGGGTTAATTAGAATTATTCCTTGAATAAGCGGAGAAAAAAATGATTTCGAAATATATTTTTTTGTTATTTGAATTTTTTTGTTAATATATAAACTTAGATTTTAGAAATATATTTAATATAGAATCTATTTATTTAAACTTCATAATTTCCGAATTAACTTTGCCATCTTTAACACGGATCATTGCGAATGACCTTCTAATAGCAGGATTGATTAAAATTGTTGTTACATCATCGTCAACAGACACTGTAGCATTTGGTTGGCCTGGAACAACGAAAACATGAGGAGGACGTACTGGTCTAAAGTGGGAAATAAAGGATTGTTGGACTTGTTCATCAATTCCTGGGCAAATTGATTGTTGGTTAGCGAATTCTGTAAGGATTGTTGTGATTCTACTTCCAACTTCTGTGCCATTTACGGTCTTCTTTCCTTCAAAGTTGTTTGCAATGAGTTTATATGACTGATATGATGTTAAGAATAAGTCTAAATCACCATATTCTATAAATACTGGATCCATAGTAACTGAATAATTATCTGTAGATGGCATGAAGGCTTTTGTTGGTAAGACTGGATCAGCAATTGAATCTTCAGCACTACTGACAAATACGCAGTTTTTATGGTTGTTAGAAAGTATTGTTAAAACTTCTTTTGTGAGATCTTCGCCCGTTCTATTGCATTCTTTTGCATAAAGAAGTTTGCAATCAGCTGGAATGAATGGTCCCAGGAAAATTGCAAGATCAGGTTTGTTCTCTAAGACTCCTTCTGCAAAATCTTGAACTTCACTTAAGTTTTCTTTGAAGTATGGACCAGCAGCAACTGTGATCTTGGTATTGAAGAGTGTTGAGATTTCATGCGGCTTTGCAACTCTGCAATTTGAGTAGATTTGCTTTGCAACGAATACGGAATTTTGGAATGTTCCAAGGACAACGACTATTTGGCCACGGTAGTAGTAAGTCTCATTTAATTTAGCTTCAAAATCTAAATATGGGCGAGAAAATTTTGATGTTAACTGAATTTGTGCTTTGTGACCGATTAATTTTTCTGAAGGGTTGTCATTATCAAGTTTAGCATATATTCTGCCATATATGAGCAAATCACCTGTATTTGCTGTTTCTAAATCAAAATTAAATTCTTCTGTGATGTTATTTGCTTTTTTAATATCTTGAGCCATTGAATCTACATAGTTGGATAGATCCTTTTGTATTGATGGTAATTGTGAGCTGAAATATCGAATTGATGGGGGCTCCTTGATAAGTAAACGTGCAGACATTTTGAAATTTAGAAGTCATGATTTGAGATTATATATTATTGTCATTTGTATGATAATGATTTAAGAATTAAAATGCATGGATTTCACATTTCACACTTCAATTTTATCAATATATAAACTCAAATGATATGTCATTATATTTAACTCATAATATAGTTGCTGTTCTCATTGTTTAGCAGATTGCCATAAAAAATAAGAAATGGAAAATTATATTGCAGTTAAAAAATATAAATTAAACATTTACAAGCTATCGCAGTAGATATATTAAAAAATAGAACATACAATATCTTCAATAAAAATATTAATTATAATTTGAATCATCGGCATCATCTTCACGTAATATTAACAATTTGGTTTGAGATTTAGATAGACCCGATTTTGCAAGTAGCGCTGAATTCAATTCCAGCGTATGATACTTGGATTTTGTTGAAATTCTCATGCTATTCTTTCTCATTGGAGGACTTGGGAATGAACGTTGTTTTGTTTGCTGAGGAACATAGTCTGGATCATTTATGAAGTCGAAGTCCACTTTATCTGGCATTTTAATATTATTTTTAGGAGACTTTATTATTGTTGATGGTCTAAGAGTTAAATCTGTTTTATTTGAGCTGTCTGTTTTCACAGATAGTTGAAGCTGTGGTTCTTTTTGTGTTGGTAAAGGTAATTTTTGTACAGGTTGTATTTGTAGCGGAATCGGTTTATTATTTGACTGATTAGCCATAGGTAAGTCAGAAAAGTCATCTGAATCGCTCTCATCTTTGGGTAACAGTTTAATTGGAGTTGGAATAACTAAAGGCTGAGAAGTAGCGATGTTCTTTTTAATACTTTGTAGATCAGAAAAGTCATCATCGTCGTCGAATATGGCTGATTTGTTAGTTTGCCTATCATTAACGAGATAATTATTTTCTTCAAGTGGCCTATCCCAGTTTATTAAGCGTTTGTAATCATCCCTTGATATAAGGGAATTGGAAATATCTTTTGCAAAAGCAAAATAAAAATACCCAACAATATATTTTTCAGTATTGCCCGTATTTTGCTGTGTATAGTCGTCAAAATAGAAACCAAGCTCTGCAATATATTGATCATGAATATTTATGTTCTTCTGTTCAAATAATTCGATTAATTGATTTTGGAGTGAAGTAAATTCGAAATTTGTTTGATAATTTACCTTTACAAAACAATTCTTATATGTTTGCTTCGTCTTGTGACATTTTATTCGAGTTGATTTATTCTGTTTGAATAGCTGCGTATTTTGCTGTGCAATGCGCATGAGCTGCTTTGATACAGGTATTATATAAAGTTCTGGTCGAAGAGAATAGATGAATTTAAGTACTTCATCAAAATACTTCGTCATACGTTTTTACAAAACTAAAAAATATCCCGATCGAAGAATAAAAAAACTAAATTGATCAAAATTTTTATAGGAATAATGCTTATAATCACATAAAAAGCAAACATTATGTCGATTTATTTTCCAAAAAAATTCGAAAATTCAAAAAAATATTGCAATTTCTAAAATAATTTTGGATATTTTTTATAATTTTTTTAACGACATCAATGTAGGCTTCTGCATACTGGCACAGCCAGTGGCACGAATTTTTCTGGAAACTGGCAACTGGCACGAGTTTTTTAAACTGTCCCCAAAATTTGAGATTTTTCCCCTTTTATTTTTAATTTTTTTTATTTTATTTTTTTTATTGAAATCCAAATTGTGTAGTCTTTTGTGACTTGTGTTCAACAATTAAATAATGAAAATGTTTATTAATTATAATTTATTGAGAGATGTTTGTAACAAAGGTAGGAAAAGGATATTTCAAATGTTTTATTATTATTATTTGATTCTCACATTCTTGTATATATGGATGAATTGTTCATAGAAGATATACTCTTTGGATATTCCCCATAATTTGCAAATTTCACTGGTGATTGAATAGGGTTACCAATCATTCAACCCAAAACTCAAAAGTATTATGACTCTTATACAGCACATCTGCTTAAGTATAGAAGCGCGGCCATATAAGTATTATCTTTCTAAGGATTTTATATTATTATCCCTCATACGATATTTTACTACTCCCTGATCCACAAAATGTCATGGATGTAAGTTTACTCGAATAGGGCAATATTCCTTATGAAGTCTCTCATTTGATGAGAGAAGTAGTATATATGTGCGGGTTGTGTGACTTTTTTTGTAAACGTAAGAATTCATACGATATTGAACGATTTTGTATCATTTTTTCTAACATATGAAGTAAAAAATGTATGATTCTTACGGTTTTTATTCTTACGTTTTTGAATAAATCATTAAAAAAATTAACATATGAAGTAAAAAATGTATGATTCTTACGGTTTTTATTCTTACGTTTTTGAATAAATCATTAAAAAAATGTATGATTCTTACGGTTTTTATTCTTACTTACGTTTTTGAATAAATCATTAAAAAATGATACAAAATCGTTTATGTCATCCACATTTACACTCAGCCCATACATAAATAATTTATTTGATCTTTTATAAAAGAAGCTATATATAGATGATGTCAGGTTATTCAATAATTCATTATTTTTGAATAACTGATGAGGTCACCAGGTCACCAGGTAATTTAATTTCTCTGAAAAATGTGACAACATGACATTTTGACAACAGGAATGAAAGGAGGATGGTATTTATTAATTATTGTTTAAATCCTGATTGGAATCAATGGAGTCATAAACGAGTAAAATAAACTTTAAAAATAAATTGAAACTAATGATTATTTGAATTTATGAAATCAATTATTTGATTCATTCTTTCATTTCTGAATAATTTATTTTTTTATTTTGTATGAAATGAGCGTCAAAACTAACGACGTTAAAAAATTAGGATTCACAAACGGGGAAATAAAGGATATATTAGAGGAGGCAGGTTATGAGGTTGATAAATATTATTTAAGAAATTGTAAAAAATTCACAGAGTTCTTAAATGAATTTGATTATGATGGAAAAATGAATAAAGATGATGTTATAAATTTCTTATATCCCACATCTAAAAAAGAAAAACCTAAAGAACCTGATGTTTTCCCTGAATATTATGAAGAACGGATTAAAGATGATGAATATGATGAAATTGAAAGACTGGAAAAAATAAGAGATGAAATAGATGAAAAAATTAAGGAATTAAGAGAAGTTGAAAAATATAATGAAAATGAAGTAGAGGGTTTAATGAATATCCCAGCTTCAGAATCAGAAGTTCAGAAATCTCATGAAGAAAGATATAAAAATTATGTCTCAGAATCAACACAAAATTTATTAGATGGTGAAATAGATGAAACACTTTCAGAAGAAGGTACTAAATTTATACGTAAACATAAGTTACAATTTATTGATAATGAAGAATACCCTTGTATCTTACTTTCACCCCCTCTCGATTCTGAGAAATTCAAAAAAGCTCTTAAAAACGTGACATATGCAACTAATACGATTAAGAAAGAAGATCATGATATTTACACAAATTATTATTTAAATAAATGCACAGGTGTTGATAAAGTTTTTGATTTATTAGATAAAATATCAAAAGAAACCATTGGAACCTATAAAATTTTGTGTGATTGTGGTTTCATTATTGAAGATACCAATAATGTTTCATATGAAAGAACAGCACCGAAGGAAGACGAAGTTGAAAGGTCTATACCATTCGTTATTAAGAACATAAAAGATATGAAAACTTATAAACATTATATTTATTCATTTATTTCAGAAAAAATGGAAGCAACCCATAAAACATCTTCTCATCATTTTATAGCTATTCATACATTCCTTTTCAAAGTTGTGAAATTAAATAAGACAGGAATTAGATTTAATGTATCAGAGTATGCATTCTTGAGTAAATTAAAATGTATTCGTCACGTCGCGGATGATAAAAATTTATGTGTTCTTAAGGGTGCCCTATAGACGATAGACCACCCTCAGAAAAGCACTTTTAAGGCTATTATATTGAGAACTAGAATCTGGATAATCCATTCATTCGAGTTCTAATAAGGTTAATTTTGTGATGTTTACATTATCGTTATAGGGCACCCTTAATTCATTTTATGGGCTTTAAAGAATAAACTTTATTTTTTAATTTTTTTTATTCTTACATAAATGAACAAAAACGGAACAGCTAAAATGAATGATAATCAAATTAGAGCAGAAGGTAGAAGGTTATTTAAACGCTTCTATAACATTCCTGATGGTGTTAATCCTAAAACTCGTAGAAGCTATTTAAATGAAGCAATAGATGCATATGAAGGTTTTGACATTTCATCAGAAAGTGAGAGATTAGCGAGAATGTTAAATGTTAATATTGATTTCTATTATTGTGATCCTCAACCAGAAGACGTGGACATAAATAAGGTAGACTTTCCATTAGTGGAATCAATAATGATAGATCCAGAATTTGAAACAGTAAATATTTTATTAACACAGAGTCCATGTGGAAAACTTCACGCTGACAGAATAACAGACGTTGAAGCACTCACCGGCTATAAAGTTTGTCCATATTGTAAAGAAGAAGTTTATTCTATCCGTGATGATCCAGAAAGGAAAAACCAAAGAAGATTTTTAAAGCATTGTGAGAAATGTAAAGAAAATAATGGAAGATTAATTCAAGACGTTCAATTGCAAAAGACCAGCAACCATATGCACCACATATTACGAAACAGAAGATATATCAGTGGTTATTAGCTCACAATTTGCAGAAATATTATAAACCGACAAGATATTATATTACTTTTGACTTTGAAACATTAGAGACTAAAGAAGAATTACAACTTTCTGAGTGTGCAACTTTGAACGCTTACTTAAAACCATTCATGGTATCATCAACGGTTAAATTAAACGATAAAACATATACGAGGAATTTTTGCTTAACTTCGAGTGATTCTTTTATTTCTGATTGGATTGAGTTTTTATTTTCAACCTGTTCATTAGTTGCTAAATCAAATATTGAACAATATGAAGAATTATTGAAGCCGCAAACGGTGGGGACTTTGTCTCATACATTAAATGAAAAACAGAAGGAAGCATTTAAAGAACTTCTAATGAGGAATTCAATAAAGTGAATATCATAGGTTTTAATTCGGGAAAGTTTGATTTAAATTTAATTCTTCATGATTTAAACACTGCAAAATGGAAAATAAAATCAATGCTGGGTTCATCTTCACAATTTAAGCAAGTCATTGTAAAGAAAACAAACGTTCCATATGAATTGAGATTTATTGACATCAGAAATTATATAGCGGGTGGGACATTAGACCAATTCACTCAAGATTTCGGAAACAATAAATCACGTGTTAAATCCTTTTTCCCTTATCAATTCATCACATGGGAAAATTACGAAGAAGAATTATATAAAGTGGAACCATTCACGAAAGATTCATTTTATTCAGCATTAACTCAAGAAACTATATCAGATAGTGATTATCAAATATATCTCAATGATGCTAAAAATTTTAAGAATAGATTAGAATATTTTATTCATTATTGCAATAAAGATGTTGAAATTATGATTGACCCAATCGATAAAATTATTGAAGAAACATTTGTTTATAAAATTGACATGCTTCATAATCTTTCTTTATCATCGAATGCTTCAATGATTCGTTACGCTTTAGCATATAAAGACTTTAATCCTAATGAAAAATATCCTGAGGAAGAGATAGAATCAAGTTTTGAATTAACGAAAAAGTATTGGAAATATAAAATTGAATCATATAAGAAACAAGATGAAAAAGCAGAAAGAGATACTAAAAATAATGTTTCAATGGATGATTTTCAATACTATCACGATTTAATCCTTTCATCTAAATGCAAAATGTGTGGTAAAGCGTTTACATATGCAAATAAACCAACATTAGATAGAATCGATAATGAAAAACCACATACCAAAGAAAATTGTCAGTTAATGTGTTGTTATTGTGTCGTAAAATCAAATAAAGATGAAGATGTTCAACGTTTAAGAATCAATTTAAGAAATTATGCATTAAAAAATAATTTACCAATGACTTTAGATTCAGTTGAAGCTTATCACATTCTCCGTAATGGAATTACTGGTGGTCTATCAAATGTTCAACATAGAGTAAATCTTAAAGGAATCACGCACATTAATAAACTTTCATATAATCCAGAAACTAAAACTGTATCAAATGAGGACACCACCAACATTATGACTCATTTCGTTGGTGTTGATTTTAATTCATTATATCCTTCATCATTTTCATCTAATCCTCATGATTTCATTCAATATACTGACCATAAAATGTATATGCCGGGAAGATTGAATGGTGTTATCATTTGTGATACAGCAACAAAGAAAGCAAAAGCATTGGGAATAATT